GGTCTTTTGACTGAGATAAATTTCTTTTCTTTTCTGTGTTTCCAAGGTCGGTTTCAAATGGCCGCTCGGTGCATGGAGAATGCATTATTCCCTTGGTTAGGTGGCTGAAAAAGGATCGGCTTATGGACCGAGAGGTCTGGATGGCCATATTACTCCAAGGATGTGTTTCCAAGGTGTTTCCAGCTTATGGACCGAAAGGTCTGGGAGGCTATCTGCTTCTAGGGTGTGTTTCCAAGTTTTGAACTTTATATTATACACTTGTTTCGTACGCCAATTTCTATGCTGACAAGGATATCTTTATAAGAAATTAACCCTATTATAGACGCGTAGGTTTCTTTTTAAAATAAAATAATTTTCTATTGCCCTTACTGCAAAGATAAATTAATAAGAAGGCCTGGCTCATCAGTGGTTAACCCATCAGCGATTTCGCCAGTTTAATCTACCATACCACTGTAATATTGCATTGTGTTTTTTTACTGATACATTTAAAAAGCCTTTTCCAAGAGGTCCACTTTATTATCGCTATAAAAACAAAACAGCCCAATACAATATTACAGCGGTATGGCAAATTAAACTGACGAAACTACTGGAAGGGTTGACCACTGAAGAAACAAAGTCTTCCCATTAATTGATCATTACAGTAAGTGCAGTCGAAAATGTTTAATTTTAAAAAGAACCATACGCATCTGAATAGTTTCAAATTCTGATAACAGATGGCGCGCTAATGCATCATGATAGAAATATCTTTATATTGCGGAGCTGGTGATATGGATGGCTGTGCTGGATTAAATCTCCTTTTTTGTGTCTGGATGCTATATTTATGGCGAACTAAATAACTTAGTCCCTATTTCTGCTCCGCGCTTATGGAATTGAAAACTTGGGGCGATGGCGTCGACCTTTCATATTAAATCTTACTTTTCCTTATTACTAATAATTGTATATAGTTGTGGAACTACTGGTTTCCTGTGCTACTCTTTTCCTGATATTGCACCTTGTACGGAGAATCTGTATAAGACTAATGTCTTAATAAAGGCTTTGTGTGTGTGTGTGTGTAGAAATATCTTTATATATCAAAAATCCACTTTTTACGATTATATTTTTCTTTAAGAAAGTCTTAAAGAAAAATATAATCGTAAAAAGTGGATTTTATTTTGAGAGAGCTCATGAAAAAAATGAGAGGTTTGTACTTTGGGGGTTTCTAGAGAGCTATAGAAACTGTTGATTCTCAACATTCATGGTCCAAGATCGAATCCCGCATTAGTACTTTTTTTTAAAGATTAAAATGCCTTAATGGCCCAAGATTCTTGCCCAAGGTCCAACCTCATCATTGAGTGCATATAATCAAACGTGTTTCTGGTATACTTGTAAGTTTAAAGGTTAGAACTGTTTGCATTTGTAGACAAATGGTCACTTCCAGTTAAGGTAGTCGCTAATTACCTACCATGATTCTACTTGTGTAGACATATGGTCACTTCCAGTTAAAGAAGTCGCTAATTACCTACCATGATTCTACTTGTGTAGATATATGGTCACTTCCAGTTAAAGTAGTCGCTAATTACCTACCATGATTCTACTTGTGTAGACATATGGTCACTTCCAGTTAAAGTAGTCGCTAATTACCTACCATGATTCTACTTGTGTAGACATATGGTCACTTCCAGTTAAAGTAGTCGCTAATTACCTACCATGATTCTACTTGTGTAGACATATGGTCACTTCCAGTTAAAGTAGTCGCTAATTACCTACCATGATTCTACTTGTGTAGACATATGGTCACTTCCAGTTAAAGTAGTCGCTAATTACCTACCATGATTCTACTTGTGTAGACATATGGTCACTTCCAGTTAAAGTAGTCGCTAATTACCTACCATGATTCTACTTGTGTAGACATATGGTCACTTCCAGTTAAAGTAGTCGCTAATTACCTACCATGATTCTACTTGTGTAGACATATGGTCACTTCCAGTTAAGGTAGTCGCTAATTACCTACCATGATTCTACTTGTGTAGACAAATGGTCACTTCCAGTTAAGGTAGTCGCTAATTACCTACCATGATTCTACTTGTGTAGACAAATGGTCACTTCCAGTTAAGGTAGTCGCTAATTACCTACCATGATTCTACTTGTGTAGACAAATGGTCACTTCCAGTTAAGGTAGTCGCTAATTACCTACCATGATTATCATGGCCTGTACGTCTCTCTCTCATTGTGTGGAATATAAACATGTAAGGACATGAATTTTGTAGATTTCTTTCTCTCTCTCTTTCTTCTGCTAAATATCACACACACACAAAGGGTAATAACCATAGAATGGAATTTCGATGCAAATTTGTTGAGATATTTTCGAAAATAATATATCTATATATTCTAAAATGACATTTGAAAATTATCCCGCATGTGTTTCTTTTTAACGAAAAATCGAAATTTATTTTAAGGAGAAATAATGATTATTCCTAACATTAAGGATGAAGTATGAAAGGATGAATTGTGAAGAGTAATGATGAAGGGAAAAATAAATAGTGTCCACCCACATTGTTCCGCTTACCGGGCAGATGCTATGTCCACTAGGCTACCCTGGACATATTTTTCCGTTCGGAAATAATATATAAAGTAATTTATAATACAATACACAAAATTTCCAAATATCATTCTACATTCATAAGCCGCATTATATTGTATTATAAATTAATCTATAGTTCAGCTAATGAATGTCGTACATTTTAATTAGCATTTAGTAAATAGTAGAGACCCATTGAGGTGTCTCTTTTTACCAACATCCAATTCAAAAATCGATTCTCTCTAGAAAAGTTTGTTTTTACTTTATAATTGAAAAAGGGTATATCAATCACATTTTTTAACTCTTTAAATTATTTAGAGAACAGTTTCATATGAGCTAAATCCCCCTAACTATTTTTCCTTCAAGCTAAATAAAATTCCCTTTGGTAAAAATGTTTATTTAAAGGTCTTTATTGAATTCTAAATTATTACTTCCTAGTCTAGGATAAATAGAAATGTCAAATTCATCTTGTCATTGATCGACTAAATATCTTTTGATAATTTTTCATACTTAAATATTAAATATATATATGTAAATATTCGAAACTGATATAGACGCGTATGATTCTTTTAAAAATAAAACAATTTCTTCTACCTTTGCCGCAATGGAAAATTAATGGGAGGGCCTGGCTCATCAGTGGTGAGACGCCACCAATGAAGACCTTGTATATATATTTATATAAATGTATATTTATCAATTATTTTATCTATTTATATCTATTTATTCTAATATATCTACCATTATTAATCTTATTTATTCATTTTATATATTTAATCTTATATGGACGTTATAATAAATCAGTTTCAATCTCAATCTTTGTGGTGAACCCTCCCTGCGGTTTCGCCATTGATGAGCCAGGCCCCTCCATTAATTTTTCCATTGCAGTAAGGGAAGTATAACATGTTTTATTTCAAAAAGAATCATACGCGTCTATAATAGTTTCGAATTTTCATAACAGATGGCGCGCTAATGCATCATTATATAATTTTTCATATTTATATATCAAATATTTATATATATACTTTCTAAATTTATAATTAACTGATATCTTTTATATCAATTAAGAAGGTTCAGAAGATGAGTTTCTTTTATTGTAAAAACGCTACAAGCTTTCGGGTAAAAACCCTTCGACAGGCAAAAATATAACTATACTAAGAAAGATATCGAATTTAATTTACATAAATATAAAAAATATAAAAAATATTTAAAAGGCATGCAAATGAACAATTTAACTATTTGTAAAAGTGAAAAAGGTACGAAAATAAAAATAAAAATTCTAGAGAGTAATACAAGAAATGCAGAAAACATTAGCTGAAAGAAAAAGAATATCAATGAGGCAAATAAATGACTGTAATGGATATTCAACTGTATAACTAATTGTATTCAAGTAACTATTACGGGTGGATTTGTACGGTTAAAGGTTATGTTCTGGGCTGCCATCTATGAAATTGGTATTGAATGACTAGTGAGAGAGACAAAACCCGATTTGAACCGGTATGACTGAAGGTGGTGGGAAGGGGCGGGGGGGGGGGGTTATTAAAATACCAAAGGTAGAATCTGAAAAAGTTTAATTGGAAATGTAGTTTGTGTAGACTGCGGGAATGTCTATTTTTCTATTTATGCTGTGTAGCTTGGATGAAACTATGGATTCCAGAACCAATCTCTGGTGTAGGTTGGAGATATTTTTGTAGTGAATTGTTGGGTTAGCAGTGTCAAAGGAATGGCCAGAAGATGCAATATGTTGAAAAATAAGGGAACGGGTATCTCGGCTGGTGATGTTGCGTGTGTGTTCGGACATTCTGATGGCGATGGTCCTACCGGTCTCCCCCACATAGGTGGCAGGACACTGTTGGCATGAGACCGAGTAAACTGCTCCAGAAGATGTTAGAGGATCAGTGGAGGAGTCGGTTTTTGTGATGGGATGCCTAAGGAGTGAGTGGAGGTTAGGTGTGTTAGTAAAAAAGGTACGGATGCCAAAGGGTTTGAGGAAACGGGAGAGGTTAACTGAGAGGGGAGAGAATGGGATCACACATGTGGATTTGTAAGTTGCAGGAGGGTTAAGAGGCACAGGTGAATAGGTGTGTTTTTCTATGAATGATAGAGGGAAACCTGAAATTGTAAGATGGGAGATGATGCGGTTCTTTTCAATAGTTTTGAAGATGGGGAGTGTAGCGTTTTTACAATAAAAGAAACTCATCTTCTGAACCTTCTTAATTGATATACCTTACTAGAAGAGTCTTTACCTTTAATTGATATCTTTTATATTTAAATGAATAATTAAATATGGTATATGAAACGAGATTTGAAAATTATCCCGCATTTGTTTCTTTTCAACGAAAAATCAAAATTTATTTTAAGGAGAAATAACGATTATTTCTAACTTTAGGGATGAGGTATGAAAGGATGAATTGTGAGGAGTAATGATAAACGGAAAAATAAAAGTGTCCAGGGATGCGAATCGAACCCACAGTGTTCCGCTTACCGGCCATGTCCACTAGGCTACCCTGGACATATTTTTCCGTTCGTAAATAATACATAAAGTACTAGTTTATAATACATTATAATGCGGTTTGTGATTGTAAAACGAGATTTGATAATTAATCATACCTCATCCCTAAGGTTGGAAATAATTGTTATTTCTCCTTGAAATAAATTTTGATTTTTCGTTGAAAAGAAACACATGCGATATAATTTTCAAATCTCGTTTTACAATCACAAGCTGCATTATATTTTATTATAAATATGGTATATACATGGTATATGAACGGTATATACATGGTATATGAACGGTATATACAAGGTATATGAACGGTATATACATGGTATATGAACGGCATATACATGGTATATGAACGGTATATACATGGTATATGAACGGTATATACATGGTATATGAACGGTATATACATGGTATATGAACGGTATATACATGGTATATGAACGGTATATACATGGTATATGAACGGTATATACATGGTATATGAACGGTATATACAAGGTATATGAACGGTATATACATGGTATATGAACGGTATATATATGGTATATGAACGGTATATACATGGTATATGAACGGTATATACATGGTATATGAACGGTATATACAAGGTATATGAACGGTATATACAAGGTATATGAACGGTATATACAAGGTATATGAACGGTATATACATGGTATATGAACGGTATATACATGGTATATGAACGGTATATACATGGTATATGAACGGTATATACAAGGTATATGAACGGTATATACAAGGTATATGAACGGTATATACAAGGTATATGAACGGTATATACATGGTATATGAACGGTATATACATTGTATATGAACGGTATATACATGGTATATGAACGGTATATACATGGTATATGAACGGTATATACATGGTATATGAAAACAAAATTGGAATTTTCTGATCGCTCTAATGAGCATTTTAGATAACAGAGCGCCATCTAGTAGAACAAAAATCAACTAAACGTTGATTTAACTTGTTCCGAAGATATTTGGCTAATCCACTTTCCTGATAAATAAAGAAAAGTGAACCACGTACGCGTTTCGGGCTGTTGGCCCTCGTCAGCATGACGCAGACTGTACCTCTACGACCAAAAATATTTGGAACAAGCTAATTCAACGTTTAGTTGTTTTTTGTTTCACTAGATGGCGCTCTGATATCTAGAATTCTCATGTAAGCGGTTAAGAAATGCCAATTTTGATTTTAATATCAATACCTGACCATTTTTCTTTTTTTTTTCTGGTTTTTTCACATATTTATATATGAGCATGCACGACCCCTAATATATTGGACATTTTACAAGGAATGTATTTTCATAGGAATGAATTGTCCTTTTTGAAAACTTGAATATTACAATTTTTATATATAAAAAAGGCCTTAAATATCTATTTCATTATATCTCAGGAAGCCTCAAGGTCCAAATATTGGTCGTAGAAGTACCTTCTGAACCACGTTGATGAGGGCCAACAGCCCGATACGCGTACATGGTTGGCTTCTCTTAATTTATCAAGAAATTGGTTTGGTTAAATATTATGGAATCAAACCTAAATGAACCTTTAGTTTATTTTTGTTCCACTAAATGACAATTTCTCTTGCGGAAATCGGCTAATAAATGTATTTTTAAAAGAAATGAATATCATATTTAGAAGAAATATATATGATGGATCAAAAAAGGTTCAAATTTATTTATACAAGATACCCCACAAAAAATATTATATATTTATATAAAATTTATAGTAAGATTTTATAATGTATTTTTCTGAAAAAAAAAGAACAATCCATAAATAAATCTTCAATTAAAAATACATTTATTGGATCAATATATAATTTATTTTACCAATATTTCAATTGGCTGAACGCCACCCTTTATCAAGGTATTATAAACAATTACCAATTATTTTATTTCCAGAGCGCTATATTCCGCAAGGGATACTTGAGCCAAGCCAGGCGAAAAGTTTATTTACATAAGTTATTCACATTATTCAACGCATGAAAACATTAGATATCCAGATTTTTTAGAAAGTTTAGAATGTATTTACAAAATGTGAATTTAACTTTATATATGATTTTTTATCGGAATTCAAATCGTTAAGTTCACAAACAACTAGTTCATTCTTCATTCTATAATCTTGAAATGCTGGGCAATCGATCAGTAGATGTCTTGAGGTTTGTTCCTCAATACCACAAAAGCAACTTGAATCCTCCACTCTCTTTATTCTATTTAAAAATCTTTTGAAATTTCCGTTGTTTGTAACAAATTGAGTATTATTAAAATTTTATATATTTATATATATTATATTTAATAAAGATTTTTTGCTGTTTTTAGAATTGTTGAGATTATCTTAATTTTGGTTATCTTGAGGATTAAGCTATGGCGGTGCAGTCGTGGTTGAATAATCTTGAAATAAAAATAATAATATGGTTTGATCAATAATTGCTTTAATTGTGATAAAGGAATATATAAAAGAACATAATTTGATAAAAGTAATGCCTGGCTTAAGGCGTAAGAACAAAGAAAACAAAAAATTATTTACATAATGTACAAAGTTTTTAGCCGGCCAACGGGGAAGAACAACAATGAGATTTTATATGGGAAGCATGACCTCTGGCGGCCGATTTAGACAGAGTATTTGGACCTATGAAATATATTTTTTAAATAAAACAATATCTTAATATATAATTTTAAATAATATCTTTATATAACATTTTAAATAATACCTTTATATAAAATATATATATTAAAAATGGCATATCCTGACCAAGAGCACATGTGCTTTACAGAAGGCAGAGCGCCATCTGGTGGAACAGAAATCAACTAAACATTGATTTACAGATGGCGCTCTGCCTTCTGTAAAGCACATGTGCTCCTGGTCAGGATATGCCATTTTTAATATTGATTTCAACACCTGATCTTTTTATCTTTTATTTTTTTCTTTCGTTTTTTTAATATATAAACACGTTATTATAATATGATGCACCAGCGCGCCATCTTGTTTAATTTCCAAAATAATCTTACGCGTCTAAAATAGTTTCGCACCTTATTATAACACCTTGATAAAGGTTGGCGTTTAGCCAACTGAGATATTGGTAAATAAATGATATTTTGATCCAAAATATGCCTTTTTATTGAGGATAATGTATATTAACTGTGAAGAAACTTATTGAGTGGAATTCTAATTTATAAATTTGTATAAATAATATGTAGTTGTTGGTGGAGGTGTTGAATAAAACCGTCGAATATCAACACCCACGATCTTGGAACGAATCCCACATAGGACACTTTTATCTGAAAAGAATTGCTTCAATGACCCCCAATTCTTTCAAAATTCTAAACTCTTCTAGTGAGCGCAAGTAATTGAACGAGGTTCTGACACGGTTTGTAAGTACAAAAGTACAATTGCTTTCTATCTGTGTATGGTTGTGGTGTACTTATAATAAAAGAAGTTACTAACTTCCATTATGATCCATTATGATCTTAATGTTTGTATCTAAAGTACAATCATGAATAAAACTTAAGTGAATTTCAGATTTTGATGTCGCTTGGCGTCAGAATTATTTTAAGGAGACAATTTTGTTTACACTTGCTTATCTCGTATGTCTTCAATAAAGGACACCGCGTATCAAATATTTTCAGAGTTATTATCTGAATCCCGATATACATGCTGAAAGGTATAAATTATGTGAATTGATTGGTTTGGATTGTCATTGCTATATAATTTCGGGGAGCTTTAATATCAGGGTAGGAGACATAATTCATTGTTACCGAAGAATATAAACCTTTAATTCTACCTCACTCTTCCGATAATTATTTTTCTAACTTGACATTATAATATAATAACTACAAAATTGTCTCAAAAGTTCGTAAACACTTGCAAAAAAATTGAAACACCAATTTTATTCGCCGTTATGTATAATGTCTTTGTATTATGTATACCTTTATTGTATTATGTATTATTTTATATTCTCCATAATAATATTATTCGACCAGTAATAAGAAAAACAACGGTTCAAGAAAAACACGAAATTTTTGCACAATCATATATTATAACTTATTATAACATATATTATATATTTTTTTATAAAATATATAAAGCTTCCAGGGTTAAGTTTCTTGTACAACTTTTTATTTTCAAGCTTTCGGACTTGTCAGTCCTTCAACAGGATTATCACTTTAACAACTTAATAATAAATACAAATTTTATATACACGTTATTATATACATATTTTAAATACCTACTATATAAAGAGAGAAAAATATACTACATTATTTTTTGTTTGAAAATCAAATTTTTTTGAAAATATACGTGCGTGGTGGATGGATTATATGTGCTGGTTGAATGATATGATTGGAAATTTCTATTGCACAAAAAATCTTTATTCTTGTCAAATATAGGAATTTAGGTAATAATATTATATACACGTAATAGAGTATCGTTTATATATTAGAAGCATTATAATTAAACTTTATATTGTTATAATAATAATAATAAAACCTTTTAATGGTAGAAATATAATGTTGAAAAGATATTATCGTTAGAGTTGGAACAGTTGGAAATTGGTTTTATTTGAAAAATGGCGCTCCATTGTGTTATTTCTCATCTACAGATGGCGCCTCTAATCCCTTCTATTTTATTGATGTCCAACAGGCTTTGTTCTGTACATTTTTCTATAGAAAAATGTCTGTTATAAAATGGGTGCATGTTGTCAATGTCTCCAAAGCATTCGTATATTATGTTTTCTATGTTAAGTTTGTTTACCAATATTTCTCTATATTTTGTTATCTATAAGAAAAACAGGCTTATACTTATAATTAAATTACCCAATATGAGCACAAAATAAGAGTTGGTCAAAGGTCATGATAACGGAATTCTCTGAAGAGATTTAAAGGATGTGGTGTATATGGTGGTTGCTCCATGGAAAAAGGAGATGCCAATACATGGAGAGACCATGTGGCCCACCCTCAGTAGAGGAAGGCATTTAAGGAGGAGG